TTTTTTTTTTTTTTTTTTTTTTTTGCGAATTTGGTTGGATGACTCGATGATCTCCCTTTCGTGCGTTTTTTTCTTGGCCAATTTGTTGATCGCTCGTTCGCCCTTTGTAACCTCAAGCGTGCTTTCTTCTCCTCTTCCAAACGAATGACCGCTTTTTATAATTATTTTATAAATTGCCCGCTTCCTGGGTGATCCCCCCCCCTTTTTGATTGGAACCCCCAAAGGGACACCATGGAGAAGAGCCAACGCAGCGACGTCACGTACGTCCTGCACAACTCCACTCTGTACCTCCTACTCTACGCAGTAGTGCAGCTGGGACAGTTCCTCCTGAAGGTCCTGTGGACGAACAAACTAGTAAAGACATACTTCCTCAAGTACCACCGGAAAATTAAAAAGTCGTACTGCCAGTACACCAAGTCACCAGAGTACCAGGACATTACCAACCAAATAGAACATGTTCAAAAAAAAATTAAAAAATACAAAAAACTGATAGAAGCAAATAAAAAGTCAAACAAACATATGAATGAGTACGACTTGTTAATACTGAATGGAAAGTACACGAGGAAATTTTTGAAGGAAGAGAAAAATTTGAATGACTTGAGAAATTTATTGGAGCAGGAAAACCAAGGCGACTATTTGTTCCACACGTGTGATGTGATTTCATCGTTCGTCACGTCCACCAGTGCATTCGTCAACATCGTGCGCACACAGATAACGGTACGTCCGTGCAGCCGACATCCATCTGGTGGTGGTGATCGTGATTGTGATCGTGGTGGGAAGACGTGTCTCACACGGGGCCCTTCTCCCCACATGCGCAGCTGTTCAAGCGAGGTTTTGAAATAGCAAAGGCACGACTCTTCGCAACCGCTCCATTTGTCCATGCCGCGATTTCCCCCTTTTCAGGTCGCCCTGCTGTTCCTCTCCCTCAAGTACTTCTCCTCCAAGAACACGCACGTGCCCTACGTGCCAGCCGAGACGGACCTTTGGTTCGGAGAGCACTTCAGGATCGTCTCCACAGGTATGGCGTGCGCGTCCGCACCGCGTGCGTTGGGTAGGCAGACGGAAAAAAAAAAAGAAGAAAAAAAAAAGAAGCCAATTTTATACGCCTCACCCCTACCACATCAAATCGAGAAGCATTTGCAACTGCCCCACAAATGCAGACTGAACGAAATGTAATATATTCCCCCCGCTCATCTTTTTTTTTTTTTGTTCGCTTTCCTTTCCCACCCCCAGAACCGTGCGCCCAAAACCTCGTCAATTTGCTCTACGGGTACAACACCGCCCACCTGGTGTTCCTCACGCTAAAGCAGAGTATTTCAAGTTTGTTTGTGAAATTAGACGCAAAATTAAAAACAGCTTAATTCTACATAGAGTTAATCTCCCCGTGGGGAGCAAAAGTAGGTGTGCAAATGCATTATGGAAGGCATATTTAACCATGTGCACTTATAAAATACACATGACAACGCGTGTCTAACGATAAAAAAAAAAAAAAAAAAAGAAGAATCGAACACGCACAAATGAAATGAGTGTGTAGTAGGCATCCCTTTTTTCCTCCTTCATTTATCTGTCATTTGATCCTTTTTTTTTTTCCTTTTTTTTTTTTTTGTGAATTTCTTTTTTTTTTCGTAAACTTATTTTTCCCCCTTCGACAAAACGCCAACGGCAATGTGTACAAATTGGCTAACTCATCCCCGACCGTCACGTGCTGCCCTTGCTGGACAAGGTCACCCTCCTAAGCGAACTCCACATTTTGGTTCTGCCTCTGGTGTTGGATTCCCTGAAGATTGAGTAAAAAAAAAAAAAAAAAACGTAAATGTGAAGTGGGTACACCCACAGACTAGCTGCTACAAGGATTGCACGTTACACGCAGAGATGAAAACTTTACTTCAAGCCGCAGCTGCCTCGACGTGAACAGCGCACACCGCTTGCTTTTTTTTATTTGTCCCCGCGCGACTCCTCACCTGTATATCCCTAATCGAATTAACATCGGCGGAGAATTTCTGGCCCATCTCCGCCATGTCCTTCCTAATGAGTTCCTCCTGGTCAAAGGTACCCTTGACAAGACTGAAGTCCACGTCCTGATTGGGCTCTTCCTTCATCAGCTCCCCAAGCACACCTTCAAATTCGGTGTTCCTTAAAAGAGCTGGATTCTTCTTAATATAATTTAAAGACAAATTAATTTTTTTCTCCGATATTTCTTTAATTCTATTTTTATAAAATTTCATTTTTCTGGCCTCCTTTATTTTTTCAATCTGTTTTATGGCGTTGATGGTTTTTATGTACAGATCTCGGTCATACTTGACTGGCTCACTTCTAATTTTTTCGAATTCAAATGTTTTGTCCTCGGTGAGCTCCTTGTTCCTTTCCTTCCTGTAGACCTTCGTCCACTTGACTTTGCGCGGGTTGTGCTTGGCCTTAAAGTGCTTGTGGCATTTGCTGCGGCAGAATCGAAATATGTTCGCGTCGTTCCGGATGAAGAATATGCCATGGCCTACGGGGGGGAAAAACGACATGAAATGAACCCAAATGACAGGGCGTATAGTAAAGGAGTCGTCACGGTAGGAATGTCCGAGGTAACGCCGTCGCCGTCACTGATGAGAGAAGGTCACTCCAATTCGATGATTATTACCTGGGTAGATGTTCCCCGAGCAGTACCAACACTTTTCTATTCTCATGGTTGGCAAGGAAGAAAATTAGGCAATTTAAAAAAGGGGATTCTTGTGGGGGAGCCGGGCGCGCACGCAATGGGGAATCCCAACGTGGGGGTTGAAAGCGAGCATCAACAATTCTACGCAGATGTCAATTAACTTCTTTCCTCTTCGGCGATGCGCCTACATAACACAACGGTCTCGATAAAATGAGGAAGGTCTCTAAATGGACTGCTTCCCCTCGGTCTGTCGCTTTTTTAATTATGTAGCTGGAGGGAAAAATTAGTTAAAACCCTTGGCATTTTTTTTTTTTTTTTGGCGTTTGGGAGTTTTCCCTAAAAGGTGCTACATCTCGCACTTAATGTCGCTTGGCTGCTGAATTCGACTGTTCTTGATTCAAGTTTGCTGCTTAACTTTTTTTTTTTTTTTTTTTTTTTTTTCCGTTTTGGCTGAATATGCCCGTCGGTTGGAAATTCTTCTGTGGGCTAATTGCAACCGGTGTTGGGGTGCCACGCGCGCGTCGTTGCTGATTTTTTTTTTTACATGTCGATTTGGTTTTACATTTTATGTTCTTCTTTTTTTTTTTTTATATGTTTGCTGCTTTACTCTCGTTTGCTTTGTTCGCTTAAATGAGGCAATAAAAAATTTTGCTTGCTTTTATTTGTGGACCTGCGACACGCTCCCAAAAGTAAACAGCACAATGGAAACCCTACTACAAAAAAATTGGGGAGAGAGAGAGCAAGAAAAAATCGCCTGAACAGAACAGGTGTTATGGAAAAAATATATATTTTTTTTTTAATGCCATATTAAGATCTATAACGTTTTTTTACGTTACTTGTTTACGTCACATCATTTAATACGTTCCATCACAGCCTTTGTCGTAATTTTTTTTTTTTTTTTTGCTCACTTATTTATAACCTTCATTTGTGTTTTTCCCATGTACCGCGTTTGTTGCGTCTGATTCCAGTCTAGCAGAGCGGGAACTGCCCTTCGGTAAGGGGCCCTTCGCATCCTCTAAACCGCGCCTTACGCAGTGAGCAGGTTGTGGCCCCCCGCGGGTCGCAAAGCCTGCATGTCCAAAAAAACAGTTTCCCGTAATGCTGATTACGCTGTAGCAGCGAAACAGGAACAGAACAAGTCTCTCTCTTTCGCTGTCGCGTTGTACCGCTTCCTTCCCCCACCATTATGTGGTGCCGCCATTTTTCCCTTTGTACCGCTGCATGCCCCCCCCCCGAATGGACGATTACATGAGTTGCGACGTCGGAGACCCGAGTGCGCTGCTCAGAGATGACGATGAAAGCGAGAAAAACTTGAAGGAATTTTTGAAGGAAAACGAGATAATTGAAAAGTACGATAAGGAGGAAAATGAAAAAGGGGTGCACTCAGACACAGAGGAAGTATCATCTAGCAAGCAGGCCAAGAATACATTAGTACACAAAAACATAGCGCTCAAAATTCACAACATAATAGCCTCAGCAAATCTTGGTGTAGAAATTGATTTGCGCTTAGTGGCTATATCCATACGAAACGCAGAATATAACCCAAGCAAAATTAATACACTCATTGTTAGATTGAACAAACCCAAGTGTACTGCTCTAATTTTTAAGAGTGGAAGACTTATGTTAACCGGCACCAAGACAAAAGCAGATGCCATTTATGGTTGTAAGAAAATTGCAAAAATAATTAAGCTTGTGACAAATGAGTCCATAAAGCTAGAAGGATTCAACATTGAAAATATTATCGCTAGTGCAGATTGTAATATGCCCATACGGTTGGAAATGCTGGCTCATGATCACAAGGACTACTGCAATTACGAACCCGAGTTGTTCGCTGGGCTTGTGTACAGGTATAAACCAACGTCCAAGCTCAAGTCGGTCATTTTGATTTTCGTCTCGGGTAAAATTATCATCACGGGGTGCAAGTCGGTTCAGAAACTCTACACAGTGTTCGACGATATTTACAATGTGCTCCTTCAGTACAGGAGTTGACGTGAAGCATAGCATGCAGTGCTTGCCATCTTGTGGGGTGTCCTTATCCATGTGATGTTACCCCTGCTTTGGGGTGTCACAAAATTGGAGAGGAAGCGTCTCTTTCTGCCGCAGACTTTTGTCGTTTTTCGTTTTTTTTTTTTTTTTTTCATTTTTTTTTCATTTTTTTGCATTTTTTTGCATTTTTTTGCATTTTTTTGCATTTTTTTGCATTTTTTTGCATTTTTTTGCATTTTTTTGCATTTTTTT